GCAGAAATTAAATGTTGAAGGTGAATTAATAAAAAAACTTACGACGTGGGAAAGTGGAGTTTCAGTGAGCCAGCTGGAAAGTTGAAGTGCTCCATGGAAGAAAAGCCGGAAGTTAGAGGAGCTGAAAACTTAAGAGACTAAGAGGTATTGTAGACGCGGCGAATACAGGAAAAATTTTCTCCACATTACCTAGAAAGAGAGTGAGTATTCAAAGCGGGGATGGAGCCAACCACGAGCACCATCTAGGGGTTGATTCCACACAGATTATTTCTACTTTTCACACTTCGTAGTTCAGCTATTTGCTAGTAGACGTGCCTTGGGAGCCAACATTTTGTACGTTATATATCCCAAAACTAGGCTTTGTACAATAGTTACAATACAATAGTGGATATCTACTAGTTACAATACAATAGTGGATATCTACTAGTAGAAGTGGTGGAGCTCTGCAAAAGAAATGTGTGCGCCAACGAAAAATCTTGGGTGTAGCCGAACATAGCACTTGAATGACAGAATGGAGATTTGATGAAATCGACTAATACTACAAGTAGAGTCATACTGATTGACGTGGAGGGGTAGAGCGAAAGCGGCAACGCAAGTCACAAAACTCCTAATTCCTGCCCAGTAACGAGGCTGCGGGGTCCTGATCCTCTGTGCTCTTCTTGGGCTCAGTTGGCGCAAGTGAAAGTTCTCCACACGAGTAAGCAATAATGATTGCCCAGTCACGGGAGGTAGTAAGTGCGGGTGGCTCTTTGGGCTTACTATCTGATCCGAGCTGTATACAAATGTCATCATATCCCAAATAAAGGTGGATTCAGCCGCGGTCAAACTCAAAAAGAACTTTTGTTTTAGGCTGACTATTTAGCTGTAACCGTGGACTCCCATCGATAGCTAGACACTATTTGGTCCTGTTCGGCTGAGGAAGAGGGGGCATCTGCTAGTTCATCAACTAGTAATTCAATAAAGCTATGAAACGGCACTCAGAGAAGCTTGTAGAGACTACCTCGTGGAGAACGTGAATTCCAGCAAAGCTTACGCAGCTCAGAATTCACTAGGGTGAGGGAACTGTAGAAACGAGCGAGTTAGCAGAGCGCCGTCCCCTCCGTAAGCTGAGCAGCCTCTACTATTCTTCACAGTGATACCGCAAATACTGCTGCTTTTATCAAGCACCTCTTTCAACTTCATTTTAGGGGAGGGGCAAGAAATCAGCAGCTGTTGTTTTTTAGAGAAAATAAAAGAATTGGATATACAAAGGGGGACCATTAGCCGTACCTGCTCATGTTCAAAGTATATTCGGAAGAGAGCAGCAGCATAGTGAGAGACTTTCAGAACAAGAGTTTCACGCCACGCAGGGCACATCATTGGTTGGGGATTTTAGTCGACTCTATACGACCCCCCCCCCTTTTTTTGGGAGTTGGTACGACCCCCCCCCCCCAGCCCTCTGTCCTTCCTCATCGAATCGAGCCGGGGGGAAGGCACTTATGAAAGAGTAAGCGAGACAATACGATCCCCCTTCTACCAATTCTCAGATTTTCCCCAACTTCCTGCCCTTTTTTCCAAAATTTCCCGAAAACTTCCCTACTTTTTACCAAAAATTTTGCTGTCGAGCGGGGAGGGGGATATAGTACGTGAAGCATGAAACGGGAAAATCACCAAAAGTCAACCGCCACTCCCACAACGCCAAAACGTAAATACGACCCCCCCTCCCTTTACAACGTCCATGAAGCGAGAAAAATCAACTATCAAAATAAATTTTTCTCAGCCCAAATACGACCCCCCTCCTGGCGACCAAATACGACCCCCCTATTGGGGACTCCCCAACAACGATGTGCCCTGATGCCACGTGGTCACTCGAGACTTGCAGTCCTACCTTATTACCAGTCCGCTAAGATTGTCTCTCGACGTGTGTACGTGTTGATGTATATGTATGTATGTATGTATTTGACCAGGAACTCATGACCACCACAGGCATCCCCGAGTAGTATATAGTCGTCCTTGCAAGTAGTGCAGCCCCAAAGCTAGAGACTGTCCCACACTCGCGACTCCACAGCGAACGAGAAGCGAGCTACAGCCGCTGAAAGTGCTAGTTCTAACGCCCGCTCAACTCACTGGACCGCCCACTTGCTAGATCCCCTCCGACGTCATTCGCCGCGCGACACGCCGCGTGCCGCGGGCGCCTCTCTGGACGATTCTGTTGCGCGCCTCCCCGCAATTGGTTGATCAAATCAGCGGCTTGCACCTGCGGCGTTTCCATCATTGCTTGTTTCCTTCCTAAATCGACTTCTACCCGATCGCCATTGGTGGAGCAACGAGGCCGACAACCCATTTGGACCGAAGCAAAATTGACACACTCTCGCCGATTGGTGACCTAAGTCGGTATTTGTATTACAATAATTACAGTCCTTACCCTGGGACGGAGTAGGTGTGGCCTTTTGAACATGGCAAAAAATGGATTACTCGTGGGATATTAAGACAACTGTCATCATGTTCAGAGTTGAACACTAGAGACATGACCGCACTTGAAGTACGCAGCCACGCCTACTCCATCTCAGGGATTTCGTGTACATGCTCAAACAAAGGAATTTTGATAGCTCAATAGCTTCGACTGCTCACTTTATAATGCACCACGCATTCGGGTATTTCAGATTGTCGGAGACCTTTGAAGCCCCATTGTGATAACAAATGAGGTGAGACAGCCAAATCATGTTTGGTTATGTTGGAGTATATTCCCAAGCTTCCACTATCTTGGAGAGCGTTACTGGGACTACGTTTTGACGTCTTCGCTTTTGCCAGAGCTTGGATCTCAGCTCCAGCAAGGCGAGACACCCTAAGGTTGCACAAAGACACATTTTGCGGAAGCGAGTCTTTGGTATTGTAGTCTGTAGACGGATTCGTACATGCTGATTGACGTACTAGTGAGAAAACAGTGGAAAACACCACCGTAAAGCCTAATTGTATTGAACGCGCATGTGCGCTTCGACGCAGAGGCCCTAAGCGCATGGGTGACGAAAAGAAACAGACGCGAACGAGAGTCACTCAGGCTACACACAGAGGCGAGATGAATAGAAACGTCACGCAGTAGTCGGTCGTCCATGGGCATTCATATATTCGGTTGAACGAAAAGAAATGGGCCTCTGAAAAGTAGCAGACGCCTTAACTACAAAAACTGCTCTATTAGAAGTAAGGGAGGTGGTTATTGAAATCATAGTTTCTGAGACGGCTCAGATTCTAGTGTATCTGACTTGTTGTATATCAGCACATGTGATTTCTGCTGCGTAGAACTGGTGCGAAATTTGGGGGTCAGTGTGGTACTTTATGGTGCCTACACTTTTTTACTGGGCTCACATACAGGACGTTACTTTCCCCTTGTGATATTTCGAGTGTATCGTTCGATGAGCCGCTGGCACATGACAATACAGTCACTTGTAAATATTGTTGTACTCACAGGACATCTTGAATGGAGCAACAGGATGGAATCGCTTTCGATCGGGCAATTGCGCAACCACACAAGAATAACGCTGGAGCGCACCGAGTTCTGACCACACAGAGATATAGTCGTGTTCTCTGCTAACGGTAGGGCTTGCAGAGGGGTGTAGGTTCGATTACAGCCAGAGCAGCCCGTCTCGCAACTGTCGCAGAATCAAAATGGCATCCTTGATGAGAAGGCTGCCCTGGCCGCTCCAGTCCACTCTCCGTCACATGCCCTATAAGTTGCAGGGATCATGTCTGTAGTTATGTGCGTATTAGTGTTCGATGGGATCTCTTTTTGCACATACCGCACAGAGCAAACCTGACACTCTCGGAATATCAGTTGCTTCGGTCTTTGCAGAACACCTTTCGCAGAAAATTCTCTGGAACAGTGCAGAAGCACCTGCAGGTGTTTTTTTTATTTAAGGCTGGAACTTTCTGCGAAAGTGGAGTAATGAATATTACATGAAGATGGCGAATTCTTCATACAAAATTGAAAATACAACACCTAGTAGAACTATCTGTATTAGTCTATCTGTATTCTTTGGAATTTCTTTTTTATTATAGTTTACCCTGGAAATCATGAAGAACTTTCCAAACAACCCAATGTTTTGATGTGGGTGAAAGTTCCAGCCATCGCAAAAATAAAAGAAGAAGGATAGAAATTGGGAGACACACAGAGCGACGACAGAAACCATTTCACTTTGAGTGTACGGATGACAGCCGTTAGGACCGCGCAACGTCGTACACTTGCTCTCCATTAGGCAGCGTTCATACTTCGCGACAGCAGTGGCGATCGCCGCGATTGTCGGTACGCGTCAGAGCGTCAGATCAAATGTCTTTTCTACCCTACTGAGGTTTGTCAAAGCAGACCGAGCTTTAAGACCACTAGGATGCTGGCTGTTGAAAAAAAAATCAAAATGTTCATTACTCAGGGCGCGGCAGAAGATCATCTTCAATCATCACATGTAATTAGTTGCAAGCAGCCTTTCAAGGAGTGGCACATACGTTCTGCAGCCATTTTTCTCAAACTTCCGCCATCTCAGTTTTTCTTTTACGACTTTCCACTTCAGCTGTGGAATTGTAACGAGACAAGACGAATCGTCAAGATTTATCTTTGATTGAAGTATGCTATGAGAACGACTTTTTGAAACTAATGGTGGGATCTACTAAGGCGCCCGCATGAGCACAATTGTGTTATGAATGTAGATATGCGGAGACAAGAAAAAACTTCCCACAAAAAAGTACACAGCTCTCGGACTTTTGTTGTCGCACCGGAATTTCTAGTAGCCACAATAGAAATCAAACAAAATATCAAATCCTTGAACAAGAAAAAAGTTATGGAATTTTTTACTTTGACGTCGGCCAACACATGTTGAACACTTATTTCCCCAATGTCCACTGAAATGTCAAAAAAGTTTCCATGGTGATTGTTACGTCATTTAAGTAAAGCACTTCACAGGCTTACGAAACGACGTAACGAGTTGGAACAGATTCAAGTACTTGTACCCTGAAATTTGTTTGTTTGTTTGTTTATTCGGTTGACGTGACACAGTTTACTGTACTGAATTTGTTTGTTTGTTTGTTTATTCGGTTGACGTGACAGAGCACATTCAACAATAAAACTTACAACACAAATAAAACTAAAAACCAGGTAATGCAACAGAACACAACATCATTTGTATAATCCTCTAATATATAGCAAATTACAACTAATTCGTAGACTACAAAATCACCCACATGACGCTTAAAACTTGGATATTTGAACTGTAAGACATTTCTCCGCAAAAGGTAATTGAACCTTGAGCAAACTCTATTGCCGAAAAACTTTGATCTAAGGTGAGTCCTGGCATATATAGATGAGAGTCTAATGGAATCGCCTCTTGAGTTAGATGGCAGCACACGAAAAAGTCATTGCTTTGATTTTGACTAAGTTTTTCAATAATTTGAATACCATTAGCAAGTCGTTTCTAGTTCTTCTCCATTCCAGTGATTTCAACCCATAAGCCCTATTCCGAAGGGTTCCGTTGGGTATCTCCATGTAGTTTAACCCATCGCATCTAAGCATCAATTTACGCGTGAAGTTATTCTGCACACTTTCAAGTGCGTATATATCCTTTTTCATATGTGGATTGAATACGACGGTCCCGGACTCCATAATTGGCCGCACATATAGCTTGTATGATCTCAATAACACGCTAGTATCTCTTGTTCTCAGGGCCTTGAACAGGTTGAAGGTCCTCCGCAATCCCTTAGTTACCAGCATCTTATAGTGTTTGCTAAAATTTAATTTGCTGTCATAGTTGAACCCCAGATCCCTCACCTCTTTCACTGTTTTTAAGTGCAACATCTTCCACGTAATACACCGGTTTGCGGGTAGAAGCTCCCAAACGCATGACCTGAGTTTTTTCCGAAGACAAAAGGAGCCCGTTATCCTTTGCCCAACCTACAATCTTATTGATTGCAAGCTGCAGTGAGGGTTCATAATCTAAATCTCCAGTCACCATGTAAATCTTGATGTCGTCAGCAAAAATATTGCAAGTAACTTCGAGGTTCTCTAGCACGTGAGGAAGGTCCGCCGTAAACATATTGAAAAGCACGGGTGATAGAACTGCCCCTTGTGGAACACCGCTGGTTGCGACTCGTACCTCAGACAGTGCTTCCCCTACTTGAACTTGGAACGTTCGATTGTCGAGGTAAGCTTTAACCCAGTTTACAACTAGGGGATGGACACCTAAGCGAGAAAGTTTGCTCAATAGGACCCTATGTGGCAGTCTGTCAAATGCCTTGCTAAAATCAAAATATATTACGTCAACATTTTTTCTGGCATCTAGCGCTTTAGTCCAATCATTCATGCAAGACAGCATAGAAGTTTCAGTTGACCTGCCCTTACAAAACCCATGGTGTGTGGCGGGTAGAATATGATTTTTCTCGATGTGCTCTAGTAAGTAACGCTTGATTACTTTCTCAAAGACTCTGGAAAAAATTGAAGTGTGACTAACTGGTCTGTAATTACTTGGGCTCGACAACGGTTCCTTTTTAGGATGAGGTATTACAATAGAATGCTTCCATTTGCACGGTACTTCGCCTCGCATGAGACTTAAGTTGAATAGAAATTCAAGAGGAGCGCAAATTTCGAAGATACAATTTTTCACAACAATGAATGGTATATTCTCGCTATTGGATAGAAGATGCCGATGACCACTTTAGGAGTATATCTAGAATTGTTTTTCGGTCAAACCATGGGGCAGAATCACTAACATGTACCCTAGGAAATTTTGAATCTTGCGTGGTACCAGACTCAAATCCGAATGACTTTTCAAACGTATCCGCTAGCAGCTCAGCCTTATCTCGATCCAAAATTGCCCTATGTGATCCTGCTCCCGAGAGAGTGCCTATTCTGTGTTTATCTGTGAGCCTAATCCTAAGCAGGGCGTATAGTGCTTTCAAACCTCCTTTGTCTAATTTTTTCTTTTCAATATAGGCATAGTACTTACTTAGTTTTTTCGCCCATTTTTTGCTAAAAGTTCTGGAACCGTTTCCATTCTACTGATGACTGAGAAGAGACTGCTTTTTCCCAATACCGCTCTCTGGTCTTTCCCATTGAAACTAAATATTGAGGTAGGTTATGAAATTTATTTACCACTCCCATCTTGTAAGGAATGTACATATTGATGGCGTGCTGTAAAATTGCTATGAACATTTCATACTTTTCATTAACTCCCATGACATTGTTGAAGGATCCGAACCAGTCTACACCTGCTAGGTATGCTCTCATAGCTTCAAAATTCCCGTTTTTGTAATCTCTACATACTTTATGCCTGTTAGCTCTAAAGCTTTCTTTAAGGCTAAACTTAACAACGTTGTGATCACTGGTACCTAGCGGAGGAGAGGAAGCTACTGAGTGGATTAATGAGAAGTCATTACATAGTAGCAAGTCCAACAGCGAACTGTATCTTGTAGGGAAATCTATGATTTGGACAAACCCGTGTGACGTAAACATGTTGCTAAATTTTGTACAACAGGTATCATTTAGGGCGCTATTGATTCCTACTCCCCGGCAGAGGCAATTTGCCAACATTTTGCGCCGGCGCCAGGTATTCGTTGCGGGACCCTCCCCAATCGATAAGTGCGGAGAGCGCGCTAAACCCAAGTATTAGCCCTTTCGTAATCATGGTTTTGCTGACCTCGATAGCCAGTTTGAAGTTTCTCTTTTACTTTTAGATGTGTAATAACGGCTTTGCTTTTTTTTCCTGTTTTTACACTTGATCATTTATCTGTTTAGATTAGCATGGCGCGTGCTGAAGGCACACTTCCAATTTCTCGAGATGAACTCATAAACGCTATCGAAGAAATTGTCAGTGATCCCGCAGAAATCAACGGTTTTGAGGTCCGGCGCCGCTTGCAGGTAAGAACTTTTGGCACTATTGAATTATTCCTATCCCAAAACCTTAAAGATTATTCTCGCTGCCATTAGATGTTAGTCGATGTCCTGGTCACGGAAATGATTAAGAGGATCCGCGGGAACTTTCGAGTTATTATACTCTACTAGTTGAAAGGTATTAATTGCATTATGGTTTAAAGTTGCTTTTATGTAGAACACTGTGAACTCGCAAAAGTAGTTTTTACTATGTTATTACTATTGATTGTGCAGGACGATCGTGAGCTTTTGCAATTTAGAATATTAGGCTATGAACAGTGCAAGTATACAAGAAGTGATTTACACAGTTACGGTTACACGATTGTAGAAGTGGAGAGGGAATTAAAAATATGGAGGCGATTAAAGATAGCACCGTAGGAACAGTGGCATGTTTGCGTATTGTGTTACATAATTTACTCTCAAAGGGTCCTGGTATCTAGTTGATGATGGAGGTGTGACTCACTTGCTTAAATCTAGAAACTTGAAAAGCGGACCTTCCGGGAGAATCGTTACTAGCACAGCTCAGATGTCTGATCCACTAAATGGAACTGTCGTGAGCATGAGTTTTTGTCTGTGTGGTCACAACTGGAATCCTAAAGTGGTATGAACCAGCTCTGAGCCCCCTCCCCGCCAGCCCCCCCCCCACTAAGCATTTTTAGAATGGTATGACAGCTTTTCTGGTCATACCATTCTAAAATTTCCGCCGGCTACTTTATTATTTATGCTATTATTATTGGCTGTTTATTAAACGCCTAAGGAAACGCTGTCAAAAATACTTTCTGTCGACGCAACTCTCCGCTTCATTCAATTGAAATCAGTGTATTGATACCACAGAGTCTCAAAGGGATAAAAACAATGTGGAGTTTCATTCTGGGGCGTCTGAACTGTCAGCATAAGTTACATAGTCACCCTGGTTTATAATCACTTCTAGACTACTCGGACTGTCCAGAAGAGGAGAACCAGTAAGACTGTAGATCTCGTCATTCTCTTTGCTTATTGTTGCGCATATTCTATGGTCTATTGGAGGATTATGTGCTATAAGTCTGAAATAGCAGACTTGAACATTTCAGTTTTGGTGTGAAGCAGCAGGATCAGTAAGGTGGAAAAAAGGCTTCGAAAGCCGTGTCGCTGCTGATGATGTGAAAATGTGCTGTCAGCATTGAGCTCGATCCATTAGCAACTTCATTCCTACCACTAATTCCACGGCATTCTTGCTTTGGTGTATTGGCGCGTTGCATTACTTTGAAGTGAAAGACTAACTTTCTCTCAAAACTCTCCGGTAACCCAATATTTCGCCGTGGTAGCCAAGTTTCCCTGCACTGCACAAGTAATATAGAAAGTCCAGACCTATGTGTCTGATCACTGTTGATTGAACTGCAAAAGAATCCCACTCGGCAAGGAATATTAGAATACCACTCAGCGAGGATAGTCAGAAAGTTCTGTATTTCAATGACCGCAGTTATGTCAATTCCAGTATATCAGTGGAAGAGTAGTACCGGTATATCTGTGCCAGTATATTCACATAGCAAAGGTATGAAGGCACAAATGTTATGTCGCAATTCGCGCACGCCGGAACATAACTCAAGTTGCGTCGAATGCGGAGTCTATCCGCGTTCTGTTGAAACTGGTTGCTAAACTTTGATTCCTTCAGTCCAAATTCAATCGAAACTTTGACGCTTTCTGCGAAGAAGTGGATTTGATATTGAGGCAGATAATGGAAAGAAAGCAAAGAGGCGACAAAGAAGCACCATCGTTGCGGTCCGATGATCTTGCAGGGAACCGCAGGTGTTTTTGTTTACCTTTTCCTTATTGATTATATTGTTAATAGTTTTCCTTTGGAGGCTAGAAGAGTCTGTTGCCTCAGAAACCGACAGTAATACTTTCGATGAAAGCGCGACTGATGTCAGAAGAGCAGTGGGTAAGAATGAGGGAAATTCGAGAAAAAAGGTGCGATTTTCATTCGCTGTTAATGATTCAATCGAAGGAATGATTTTTCTTTCAAGTCGTTGTATATTTTGTGTGGTACTTTTTCACAACGACAATGAGACCACGCGTCAGTAGTTCTGCCCCTGGTCGAGAGTTGGTATGTCGCAGCTTCAACTGCTATGTCGCTAGTGAGAGAAAGAGGAGATGTCAGTACTTGAACGAGTCATATCGTGTGTGCATCTAGTAATGTGAAAATCCTAGTTGACAATTTCTACTTTTTTTTCTTATGCATGTTTCTCTAAATGTTCAGACAATGAACACTTCAGGATGTGCGGTCATGTCCTGAATGTGGAAAGTCTATCTTACGGAAGAGCTTGTACGTTCATCTCCGAGGAGTTCATTTCTATAGTGACGAACAAGTAGAGCAGCAGAAGACTGAAATGAGAAAATCGGCCCCTGAACATGACCACGTTATATGTCCGTTATGCGGAGAAAGCCTCCAAAATCAAGAGTGGCTTGCACTGCACTGCGAAAAGGAGCACGCAGAAGATGGGGCAGGTGGAGAGCCTCAAGATTATACGGTCTTCACGATTACTTTCGCAGCGAAGCAGGACTTCGATGTGGGTCTATGGAATAAACAAGTCGATTTTCCGGGACGACCACTGCATTACTATTTTCAGGAGTGGCTCGAGGAATGCCAGCAGCAAGCGAATACTACGTTTTATACGCGCAGCAGCCCGAAATTGAAAGGCACTATCAGTCTCAGGTGCCTAGACATCTATGTTCATGTAGTATCTGATGCAGTACTTCAAATCTATTAATGTCAGGTGCAACAGAGCTGGAAAGTACGTCAAAGAAACGGAGAATCGAGCTACACATACGGAAAAAGATGTATTGCATTGTTCGTGTTTCCTCAATGTAAAACTTGAGGACAGAGGAAGAGTAACCGTGAGAGGCTGTCTGGGCCATGTCGGCCACAGAGTTGATACCGCCCTTCTACGCTTGACCGCAGGACAGCAGGCTTTCCTCAAGGCACTGTTGGAAGGTGTGTTGAGCAGAGGTAGTTGCTACCACTACATAAAAGCACAAGAATATGAACTGTTTTCAGAATTCTCGCACGACTACATTATCCAACGCCTCCGAAGAGATTTTCCTGCTCGAACGTCGAGGTTGCACTTCGTAACCAAGGGCGATCTCTGGAGTCTCGTAAATCGATTTGGACTGAGACCAGGATTCCGTTATAAAGATGACGTGCTGTCCTTGAAAGCAAGGCAGGACGAAAGGAACCCCGACGACGGTATTAGACTCTTCAACATGCCTAGGGATCCATCTGGAGAAGGCTTTCAATTAAGTAAGGCTTGTTGTGCTCATGACGCTGTACTGTATCGTAGAATCCTTTATTTAGTAATTATAACGCCACAGCAAGTGAAGTGGTTAGAAGACTTTGCGCATCGAGGAATATGTATTGATGACACACACAACGCCACCAGATATAATCTCAAGCTTGCAACAATCATGGTCATGAATGAAAGGGACACAGGTTTGCCCGCAGGTATGTCGTGCTAACCATCCTAAGGGAGGAAATCCAGTCAAGTTGATAATGTTTCAGCGTTCCTACTGAGTGGCTCGATGAGTTCCCATGACGTGGAGAAACTTTTCCTTGAAGTCCGACGCTTGGTACCAGGATTCGACCCAGCACAGATAGTAACTGACGAGGCCCCCTGCTTTTATAATGCTTTCCGATCGGTCTTTCCCAATTCTCGGGCGAAGCTGCATTACTGTAGGTGGCATGTGGAGAAAACTTGGCATAGGAATGCAAATAAGTTGGTCGAAGTTAGTCTACTCTGATTTGTAACCTTCCCTACCAAAGACGACTGCTCTCATTTTAGCCTCGAGTTCGAAGTAGGGTGAAGAAAATGTTGAGGGATATCCTCGTCGTGGAAGATTTGCCCACGTTTCAACAGCGTTTTGGGCAAGTCCTGGCGTTCCTGCAAGTAGAGGGACAAGTAAAAATGGAGGAATACTTGAGGCGAAATTATTTGGGTGAGGTAGTCTTGAGTTCCACATCTGTTCCTCATTAGTGAAATGAGTTTATTAAGGTAGAACGCCCACATGGGCGTCATTTGCTAACGCGAATGCCATAATGGATACTAGTATGATAAGTGAAAGGTGGCATCTCCGCCTCAAAACAGAATTCCTTCACAGGAATGCTAACAGTAGAGCCGATTGCCTCGTCGATCTCCTCATTAGGGCTGTAGAAGAACTTTCACAAACGGATGAGATTAAGGTATATGTTGACTTTATCTATTGCCACGCCTTTACTATTTTGATTTCCATTGAGGTTCGTCGACGACTAGCTGGTCGTTCTTATCGACTCCAACAGACCACTGTGTGTCACCGCGTAGCTAAACGTCAATTCGACCGTCGTCTCGTCAGGATCCGGCAAATAAGCCCCGAGAATTGGGAGGTGTACACCATTCAGTCCGGAGAACTATCGTACGTACGCCGTCGTAATGAGTGTGGTTGCAGTGATAATGTCGAAGAAAATGTTCATTGTCCACTGTGTTCAATTTGTCCGTACGCTTGGTCGTGTTCTTGCCCGGACAACCGCTCTGGAATCAGCTGCGTACATCGCCACATTATAGCGCTTCACTGTCTACCTGCAAACAAACGAACACAGGATACCGTCACGCAGTCGCAACCTCAGGAATGCAGCAGAGCTATTTGAGGAGACAATTACTCCTTCGTTTGATAACGAAGTAAGTCTTGCTCAAGAAAGAAAAGAAGAGAGAAGTCAGATAAGAAATTCTATTAATATGGTGGGTAAGCCTTTTAACGCCCTTTAGAGATCTATGTTCAAATTGCAGCATAGCACAAGCATTTCAGAAAGTATCTTTGCTTCAAAGTCATGTGAATGCTTTGGTCAATGAAGATACTGAAGATGCCAAGAACATGCTGAGTGAAATCGAAGCTTCGATGGACAACATTTTGAAAATCAGGACTGCGCCATTAGCCGGGATAGCAGTTCGGCACGAGCTCTCGAAACGTGGGCGAAAACCCAAGCAGCAAAAAGTAGAGCTCTATACTGTGAGTGCTTCGAAGTTTACATTTGACACACTTAACATCAAAGGAAGAAAGTTCCAGCGCAAAAAATGTCGTGCGAAAGCCACCGGCGAACAAGTTTGAGAATATTCGTTTCAACTGCCTACACTTACAGAAGTGTAACTGAGAAGTGCCTAAGTATTCAGGTCCTTGTCAGCTGCCTCAGCTTGATCACTGTTAAGATTGAACTTTATGAGTTTTCAGAATGACATCTCAAAACTGGCTTTTCATGAATTCTCGAACAAATTTCTCCACAGAAGATGCCGAGTAATGAGAGAGAAACAAGAAGTTGTTGATAACCCTTTTATAGTGTGATATTTCCTGATGAAGGCTCACTTTAGCTTCGGTGCATTAAGGTTTTTCGATTCTGGAAATTGCTCTTTCAAGCCTCTCTACCTATGGACTCCAAACATCTTGCATTATCTTCGAACTTTCGGGCTCAACAGCTACTCGGTCTAAATGGGTTACTCCTCACAATGATCTGCCAAGACAAGTTAGTTGCTAGGGTACTCTTAGGTCTTTCTTTCCGCTAGGCTATTTCACAGCAGGTTCCACAACCCAACGACAGGTACGCCTCAGACAGCAGACTCTGGTCAAAATCATGCAATTGCGAGGTCATCACAACCGTTGCTGCAGCCTTTAGGATGCAGGTTGGTTCAGAATGTAGCTTTTGTAGTTCAACAGTTGTGCAGATGCTGTCAATTTACCGTTTCAGGTTCTAAATGTTGTCGAATAGTTCACAGAATTACACTGGCTCGTCATTTTCGTGACTTATTCGAGAAGCACTCCGTTCCGAACAACTCCCAAGGTATTACACTTTTGAGACACACGTGCCAAAGTCATACATACGTCCGATGAGCTTTGAGTAATTTTAGCGTAAACTTTCCAAACAATCGAAGGAAGCTCAATGCACAACGCGGAGCTCGTCTTCCATATCTGGACACACACAGAATCCATATCTCTACCTTTCTTACATTGTTGTAGCCTTTATAGTTTTGTTGTTTTTCGCAATTCGGTTATTGGGCTCCTTGTGGATGTGCCTGGTTACTTAGTGCATGTATGATCCGTATTTCGTGTGTTTAGGTAGGTTTTCACATGGGCCATACTTATCGATTTCCATTGCTCTTCTTACTTTCTCCCTAACGATTGCACTCTATCCACACTAATGTTATACTTCTCTGCTGCTGTATTCGAAGTACTGAATTTGTTTCATTGTGATGTGTTTCCTGAATTGCTGATAGTTGTCGCAGCGAAAAATGTTTCTTTGTACAACCCTTTGCAGCATGTTTCTTCCGTTTTTCAAGAGGAACATATAGGAAGTTGCTCTGTTTCAGCCGTTTAACCTCCAAACCAAATGGAAATCTCGTCACTTATTTGAGCTTTTTAGAGTTCTTATCGATCTTTGGTATATTTGGTATAGTATGTCAAGCCTGTTTTCATTCGTATAGTAAAGAATGTACCGAGAATTCATCTGTGTTTTGTTAGAAATGACAGAATAGGAGTGGATATGGAGGACCGCGATCAGATATGCGTACTGGTCTAATAGTACGCATAGTCACTGCAAACATCACAATAGTCTCGTAGGTCTAGTATGGGTGACGAAGTAGTTAGCCAGTGAGGAAGAGTAGAAAGAAACGGCAACGTGACTTAGATACCCGGTGGGCGTGGCCAAAATAGGGCGAGGGCTTGACGTGGACGGATATAATTAGGCTTCAGCGCTTCTTCCTGAGCTTGGAGACGATAATTTCCTTCTTATTAAACAGCTGTGTGTTTCTACTGCTTGAACTAAGAAGTTCCGAGAGGAAGAATTAACTTAGATTGGAATTTATGTATACATTAGGCAGAGGCGAAAAAGTGGTTATCAGGTCTTACGTATGATCATGAAATCAACATTAAGCACACCTTGAAGACAATAGGAACGTTTACCTTGTAAACGGTGCTCCCGTCTAATATCTATTGCAGCACAAATTTGGGAAACACCGGTCCATTTCGAAGCCTTGCCCCTGTGGCCACGCCCACCCGGGTATCTAAGTGCACGCACCCGAAAGAAACCCTCAGAAATGCCTTAAGAAGGACCCCATGCCGGAACGAAATCGTTCTTCGGAAGAGAGAGGGGGCGAAATCATATTTGTCTGTATCAGCCTCATCCATCACACTCATTATTAGGAGCCGGAAGCTACCGAAACAACTGCTCCATTACATAACCATTAAACATGAACGCCGAGTATGGACATTGCTTAGAGTATAGAGCAATGCATGTTTGATTACTTTTGAACGTGACTTTGATTTGCAGAACAAACAAAACCACTTATCCAATATCAATAAGCATATACATATCAGAATACATATATACATATATGTATTGTATATATTGTATATGCATTATATACACATGCGTATATATTGTATATAAAACAATTTATACGTATCTGTATATAATGCACATATTTAAGTGCTTAAGTGCTAGGGAAACACGTATTCGTACACGCACACGCATATAGGGAGCTTCGCCGTCGCACAATCGGGCGAACGATAGAATAAAACTAGGCGTGGTTACGGTAGCCTTTAGTGTGTGTACGCAATCGCACCACAAAATGTTGGCAAATTGCCTCTGCCGGAGAGTAGGAATCAATAGCGCCTATCATTTAGCACTGCGGAAGAGCTGAACATATGAGGAAGGTTGAAATCACCTGCTACTATGCACACTTTGTCACAGGAAGACAGATCACTGAGAGCCTTGATAAGTTGTTCACTTTTTGTGGAAGAACACGACGGCGCTCTATACACGGCTATGATCCTAAGTTCCATGGAGTAAAAGTAAATATCGCACGCTAGTATTTCGTATGCGTCCTTAACCGATTCCCCAAACACTGTACTACCAGAATGGGGGTGTCTCAGCAAAAGGGCTACTCCGCCTCCTCTCTTGTTCAGCCTGTCAGTTCTGAAAACTTCGTACTGTGCTGCCACTACCCCAAGTAACGGGGAAATATCAATTTTCGAATTTAGCCATGTTTCACATAATATAATAAGATCGTAGTTTTCCCTTCGCATGAATGTTTCTAGAGAGACTGCATTTTTAACCAAGGACCTGATATTTGATAAAGCACAATTGACCTTGAACGGAGATGTCCGCGGATAACTCAAACGTTTTTCGACAATGCAATATCGGAATGAGCATTCAGAGAAGCGTTTTGTGAACAAATGAATTGATTGAACATTGAACAAATTGATAATCAACAAGACAAAAGAAGGATTACATAGTAGTGTGTGAGCGTTGCACTGACAATGTGTTCTATATACATGGCTACTATTATCTGTTTTACAGTTCGATGATAATAACAATGATTAAATTTATATGATTCAACACAACTCTATCTGTAAAAGTTCAATATACACATATCTGGCATTTTTATAATTCTCTACACGAGGTACTGTCAAAATACAAAATTAGAACAAGTTCATGAAAGAACTTAATTCAATTAAATAGTCATATTACACCCCTCAAGTCATCCCTTACTGATGAGCACATGTGGGAGAATCTAGAAATGTTTAGTAGACATGCGGAACGGTCACTGAAATAGTGTACTGTTTTTCCACAAAACTTTCCACAGAACTGATGGCGTATAAAAGTGATGGTAGCATGAAACTAGTTGTTCTTCCCGAGGTAGCATTGCGATTTCGCTACGGTTCGTCATCATTGTCATCCCGCCAGCAGCTGACAGGTGACTCTTCTTCAGTTTCAGCCAACAGAACTCTACTTTTAGTAGCGCTGCTACAGCTAACTGCCAGTCAAAAGGAGCGCGTACTCGAGGATCTGTGGCGAGATCCCGCTCCGATATCAGCTACTCAGCCAAGCTAGATAACCCATCTACCTTAGAATTAAATTTCCCCAGGCCTTGCAGCTCTTGGCCGATTGCTCACTGCAGATTGCTTCATTTGTGAAGAGACCACAGCGAGTGACCTCCTCGTCGAAAAATCAGGAAGCATATACAATCTCGTATTTCGTGAATCGCAGCAGTAAACACAATTCCGGAACTACCACCATCGTGACAACATGGTGAGCGCTGCCATAGCGCAAATCACGGAGACGTTGCTCTTCCTGAAAGACTCACCAACCACAGGTATTGCACCACGTCTCGGACTGCTGTAGCGGATCCGTATTCCATTACAGTGATACGTAAAATCCTCAACACACTTGGGAACGACTTCGGAGATCGTTTGAAACACGTTGGATCTGCGCCTACTTTGAACGCTATGGGCAACTCCTGAAGGACTACCTCGAGCAGCCCGAATGCGTAGCAACCATGTCAGATAGTGACAGAGAGGAGCATGCGATTGCGCAGTAACACGTGGAACGCATGGACCAGATCATGTAGAAGTTTTGGCGACCATTGGCCATTTGTATGTCCACGTCTTTCCCTCTGGAATCCACCAGCGGCGTGGGGTTTTCAGACGGTACGTCGATCGTCTCCAACTTCTCTCTTCGTATAACCTCGGCATTGTTGTAATTGATGTTCTATTACTTCTGCGCCAACGAGGTTTGTAGGTGGAACTTTATTTACGGCCTAACGTTTCGACCAGATCGTCGTCCTCAGAGGCCTGAACGTAGCTCAAGATTTTTAATTTGCTCTCTACACCGCCAAACGCCTTGTCGCCCCAGCGTTTCCGACGGTACTTCTAGAAACAACCAAAAACCTCCCGTAGGTAAAACATACTCACCGAGTCCACCGCGGCATGAGCGGATCAATGCCGCTCCACTAGATGTTAGTAAAGTAAGTGAGACATACCGTGCTGCCCTTGGATAGTGAAATGAGAGTAAAAGAACCGAGTATGTGACAAGAGAATCGTAATTCGCCGCGCTGGTGGGCGTCGCGTGCGACGTCGCGCCCGCAAATGACGATGGTTCCAGGCAGTAGATGGCGACAACAGGCAATTCAGAAGGGGTATGTGACAAGAGGATCGTAATTCGCCGCGCTGCTGGGCGTCGCGTGCGACGTCTCGTCTGCAAAGGACGATGGTTCCAGGTAGTAGATGGCGACAACATGCAATTAAGGACCGAAAACAGTAATGACTGTCTACGATGA